TGCTACTTCATCGATGGGTCAAGACAAAGGAGTTGATACTAATAACAAACCTTTAAAGATGTGTAACATACCTGATTTGTGGGGGAAAAAAATTTATATGATAGGAGTACACTGTGAAATCAGTCAAGAAAACATAGAATCACAGAATATCAGGGTTGGAAGGGACCTCAGGAGGTCATCTAGTCCAACCCGCTGCTCAGAGCAGGACCAATCCCCAGACAGATTTTTATCTCACTTCCCTAAATGGCCCCCTCAAGGATTAAACTCACAACCCTGGGTTTAGCAGGCCAATGCTCAAACCACTGAGCTACCCTATTTTCCCCTTATTTAAGAAACAAATTTAAATATTACATACAAAAAGTGTAACCTTTATATTACACTAACATCTTTAAATGCTCAAAACTCAGCATAACCTTATCTTGTGGAGTGTTTTGGATAATTATGTTAAATGTACTGTGTACCTTAATGTACAGTGTGCCGAACCCTACTCTCACGTGTGCAAGCTCACCTCCAGTTCCTTTCAACTGGAATTGCATGGATGTGTCAATGAGCAAAATTGAGTCTGGTGCGACTGAACTGTCAAAGACAAAAACAGACTTATCCGGTTTTATAAGTCTGATATAATGTCATTGGTGTGCAAGCCGCTTTAGATACACATGACACAAGTTCCCTGCCCTTGGGAGTTTACAACCAAAGACCCTGATCCTGCTATTTGATGCACAACCTGTGAGCTTCATGGAAGCCAAGGACAGTTGGCAAGATCATTCCGGGGTCTGTGCAATTGCAAAATCTTGTCATCAGTCAGACTGATAACATAACCAAAATGTCACTGCCTCATGGTGGGTAAGGAAGTGGATGAGAGGAGGATAAACCTCAGTAAAAACGAAGTGGAGAATACTATCACAGTGTGTTTTGTATAGAAAACAGACCATGTAAATTGGTTCCCATGTTTCTAGTTAGTTACTTTTAATGCTTTAAAAGATTGTTTTAAATTTCTCATGGTCAGCTGACTCCAGGGGAGTGGTTCTCAACCTGTTTACTGTTGTGGACCACATACAATGCTACCTATATGGCCCTGAAGATGTTACATGGGCCATATAGGTACACCTCTACCTCAATATAACGCTGTCCTCGGGACCCAAAAAATCTTACCGCGTTATAGGTGAAACCGTGTTATATCAAACTTGCTTTGATCCGCCAGAGTGTGCAGCTCCCCCACCCCCCTCCCGGAGCGCTGCTTTACCTCGTTATATCCGAATTTGTGTTATATCGGTCGGGGTAGAGGTGTAGTATCAGCTCTGTGCTGATTGGGCTGCAGCTTGAGAACCACTGCTCCAGGGTTTTGCTGCCCTATAATGCTGCTTTGGCCTGGGAAGATGATGCATGCTTACAGGGGGTGGTTTTCAGAGTTTCTTTGTGCATGAAACTGCAATTGAACTTCGTGGCTACAGAATGGGGCCCTAAAGCAGCAACAGCGTGACACTTCAGAATTCTGTTTTAAAAGTTTCTGCTTCATCACTCTCAACCTATCGCTTTTAGGAGTAGTACGGGATCTCAGCCGTCCGCTCCAGAGCCATAAATATCTAATATTCATATTGTAGTTGGAAGTAGGCTCTTGAAGCAGTTTATTCTGCTTTCCTCTTTTATTATAAAGCCACTGGCTTGTTCCCAATTTGATTTCTTGTTGGCCTTTCTTAATTTTATTTTTCAAAGTAGATGGATTTCTTTTAGCAGGCCTGTTTGAACCTTGTACAGAACTTTGATGGCTCGTGAACAAAGTGTATTTGGTATAGCTTCCTTTTGAGATTAAATTCTGTGATTGCAGCCAAACTAAACAGGATCTTGAAGTCTCAAAATCTCATGTAGAACAGTTTTAATACTCATTTAATTACTTATTTGTAAGATCGTGCCAACGTGATGCATCATTGCATTGGATAGTACCTTTCTAGCGCATGGAAAATGCAAACAGGATTAAGCCAAACTTTTCCAACAAATGCCCATAAACCGTGAACTCATACAGGGGCCTTATTGTGCCAAGATTTCTCAATGAGCTTTTACAGAAGTAAATACGCTCTATCCTGGCATTTGTTGTGTGAAGGTGTTTGTTTTAAGTTGTCTTATCTTTATCTGCTAAAGCCATTTCTAATGAAGCTCGAAAGTGAAAATCACATTAATAACTAAGCGTCTACTACAGGGATCGGCAACCTTTAGCACGCGGCCCGTCAGGGAAATCCGCTGGCGGGCCGGGCTGGTTTGTTTACCTGCAGTGTCCGCAGGTTTGGCCAATCGCAGCTCCCACTGGCCGCGGTTCACCGTTCCAGGCCAATGGGGGCTGCGGGAAGCGGTGGCCAGCACATCCCTCGGCCCGCGCAGCTTCCCGCAGCCCCCATTGGCCTGGAACGGTGAACTGCGGCCAGCGGGAGCTGCGATCAGCCGAACCTGCGGACATTGCCCATAAACAAACTGGCCCGGCCCGCCAGCGGATTTCCCTGACAGGCCACGTGCCAAAGGTTGCCGATCCCTGGTCTACTACTAGGTAACATCCAAAGTAAAACAGTTTTCTTGTAAAGATGCCAATTCTGCTTTCGGTTGACCTGTAGACTTTTCAGTTTGGTCTTCGGGGTTGGGGGGGATGGATTAAATGGGCCCCCTATTAGAGAGGGCGCCAGACCAAGTGGTATTGCAGCCTGGTTCACAGGGTCACAATACCACTCAGGTTTGGCCTGGCGACCCCGAGTCGTGCTGTGACCCCGTGAACCAGGTTGCAACACTCAGAGCAGGGAGCTGGGCTGTCCTCAGCAGAGTGAATGCGGGATGGGCTCACTCTCCAACCTTCCCCCACCCCTTTGGGCCTCTCCCTAGTGGTCATTTTTTTGGGGGAAGTGGGGAGGCTCAATTCATGTTTTGCTCCTAGCACCCAAAATCCTCTATGTGGCATTGCTTCTGACACTGACGGAAAACGCCCAAGGGACATCGGCCCTCATATTTCCCCCACGAGTAAGTTCCAGATGTGTGCACACAGCACAGTGTGTCCTCAGTGCCCAGGTAACAAATAATAAATTTGATCATCTGGCACATATTCATGGTGAAAATAGGGGATTTGATTCCGAGTTTTGGTTCCCAGCTCTGACATGGATTTGCTTGAATGAGTCACTTTTTCCCTTGCTTTAACAAGTGGGATGCTGGGGTTTCTTCCTACTATTTCTAAAGTGCTTTGAGATCTCTGGATGCAATATGCTTTAGAAGTGCAAAGTTGTTTTTTTTTTTTTTTAATTATATATAGAATGAAGAGATTATTTTTAAGTTTTTTTTTTTTAATT